AATGGGAATCACTAACAGAAAAAGACCATTTCAGAATCATGGACTAGGGTTACTGTCCAAGAGAACCATAACCCTTGGGCCACTCAGTCTAGAGAGCAGCTTCATTTTTGCAAAAGTGAATATGGTGGTATATAGATTAAAGTATTAATTTTTTTCTGTGCTACACACTTATAGGAGAAAATTCTTAATATCCAAGACAAAAGCAGTGCCTTGCTGACGAATAAAGAGACATGTGTATCAAAAATACAGCTGACAAAAGGCCGGGCAAAGTGGTTCACACATATATTTTTTTAAAAAAGAATGTAACTGACAATGCTACAATGTAGGAGCCTCTTACACATCCCTTTGATGCCTCAGTTTCCTCTGCCTACTCTGCTTTTTGTAGGTAAAACTATATTTACAAACTCTTCTCTTCCTGACAATGATAAATTCTTCTCTTTCTCTTCCTTGGATTGAAGGAAGTTGAATGAACCTATCTACACAAACTACTCTTAAAATGGATCTTTATCCTCTTTCCTGTCCATGGGCAATGACTGTGATTCTTCTTTAGCAGTTACTGTTTCTTCAGCCCTTCCACCAGGATAGGGCTGCTTCACATACAGTGTGCTGAGTCAAAAAGAACAGAGGGAAGTAGTCACAAAAAGAGGAAGCAGTGGTTAGTGGGTTCTTGAGAAAGTTCTCCAAAGGTTACAAACTGAAAAGATCAAAAAATTAGCAGGTTTATGCTCATCTCTGCTTTCTCCTTTTTGGCAGCTCCACGCAGAAGAAAAAATAATCTGTGACTTCTGTGCCTTCTTCATGATCTCCAGGCAAGACTGGGTTTTTGACCAGTGCACAGGAGACTCATCAATATCTACCTAAGCCCCTTCTCTCTAACAGCTGCAAGAGTGTGGTCTTCTATCATCTCGGGCCAGGAAAGCGCAATAGTTACATTCATGCCCACTCCAGTCACCTGCTTTCCATTCTGTATGAGCAGGTCCTGTCCTAAAAAGTAAACATGTCTGCTGAGAAAAGCCAATGAGAGGGAGAAGAGATCTTCAAAGGGAAGGGCAGATTGGGTAAGTGGTTGCTGGTGGGCCGAAGTCTGTGCTATAAATCTTCTTAGGGTGGAGTAGTTGATTTAACTCCATTGAGATGGACCCTGAAAACAAATATGAACATAAGGAATTTTACAGATAAACCCATGTTTCATGTCTAGAATAGAGCAACATCATTATGATCATTATCTGTTTTCAATATCCAACACTGCCATTTAGTTTCAGCTTCAGCTTCACCAGATCCTTCAAATATTTCTTCATACAATCTCTTTTTGTCCTTCAGTATGTGATGCAAAGAAAGACCTCCAATGCTAACATGGAAAAGAGAAGAGCCTTGCTCTCCAAGCAGGTTTAAATCTACTGAGAGTGGAAATTGCTCTTTTATTTATAAATACTGATAGGACCCTTTTGGTAGCAGGAAACATGGACCAATTATTCAACCTTAAGTAAAAATGGGAATTTATTGTAAAGGAAAATGGATAGCTGTCAGAAGGCTAAGCAGGAAGGTCATAAACAAATTGGAATCAGAAAGTGGGAGGTTGTTGGAATCCTTGGGGCTACCTTGACCCTGTGATCAGACAGACTTCTCTACTTGCCATCTGTGTCCTTGGACAAAGTGCTCAACTTCTCTACGCATCAGCTTCCTCATCTGCAAAACAAGAACAATATTTACCTTTAAAGATTTTTGTGAGGATTGAATGAGTTAACACAGGTAAACAGCTTGAACCGATGTCTAAAATTTACTAATCACTCAAATACTAGTTGCTGTTGTTGGTTGTTTTATACTATCTGCCCACATATGTTGATTTCTATTTTGTTTCTTTTAAAGAATTTGCCACTCTCTGAAATTGTCTTACTTACCTAATTGCTTATTTGTAAAGCATGTGATTTCTCCTCTAGTATTTAAGGTTTATCATACCCTGAGTAGAGAGAAGACAGTCAGTGTTCTGTCACATGTCCTTTTTGCTGGAGCAGAGAACTTTCAGCCTGTTTCTGACTCAGTCCTCTGAGTACCTCTGCTCTGAAAGCTGTAACTCTCTCTCATTCCCAGGGCTGTTTCTATCTCCATAGCTAAAAGCCAGACTACCTAGCCCGTGGAAGGGAGCCCATTGGTTCATCTCAACTGTAAGGCAGAATCAATCAAGATTAATTTAGTTTCAAGCCAGACTGAGTAGATGACCATTACGACTGATACTACTTGAAGTTCTGCCTGCTTTGAGGAATTTCCTTCATCACTTTCTTTCAAGAGCAATACTAACTGCGGTTACAATGATACAACAGTCCACTTCCAGTTTTGCTAACATATTAGACAAAATCATCTGTGAAACAAGCCCTGGTCTTCCTTCTGTAGTTATCTAGTTAAAAGGAATTCCATATGAAGCTATAGATGTGAACTGCAGGAGAGGAGGGAATGCAGTAAAAGCTGGTGCGTTAGCAGTCTAAGCCACCTGCTCCTAGAACTTACTTTTGCCTGGTTAAACTCAGTCATATATACATCACACACACACACACACACACACACACACATTATATATACATGTATATATCTTTCTAAGGATGGATTGCTGCTGGGCGTGTGTAATCTCATGGCTACATAAAACCCCACTCATGATGAGCAGTTCAGATTACATGGTCATTTGATGTCCCATGTTATGTATTAAGTTCTTAGTAAGGTCCAGGCAAACTAGATACTATCTCCTAAAAGAATATTTATCTCCATAAGAGAGTATAACTTTTCTCTAAAATCCTAGAATTCTGTGCTTTAATTTTCCTTTTCCGGCTTAGAAGCACCATACAACATCCGTATTTGCTACAGTCATTTCAGGCTTGATTGGATCTAGCGCATCGCAAGTCTCAAGTGGTCAAACAGCTTTCAAAGCAATCTGGAATTATTGCAAAGTTTTCTCTTGCCCTGATCCTCTCTCAAAACCAGTAGTGTTATGGGCTTCTCAGCAAATGGGTCAGAGTGATGCACTTAACTGAGGATATATTCCATCCAGATTCCAAAGATATCCACCAGGTATTGTGCCTCTTCAGTAATAAGAAGGTGCAAGATGCAACAATTTGCTTAACTTTGAAGGCATTGTGACATGTGAATAACAGCATCATCTAACTTATAGGGGTTTCATGAGAAGAAAATGAATTACTTAGCCCAACATATGACATTAAGTCAGCGCTTAATAAGTATGAGCTATGATGATGACGAAAATTATGTTTACTACTACTATACTTGAAATTTATGCAAGACTGCATAGAGAAGGCCTTTTTGGATTTCCGAAAACTTCCCTTCTTCACCTCCCAACTACAACATACTGCAATCAGCAGAGTCAAAAAAGAATAGACATAACATCTGAGGTAGAGGTAATTGTATCTATAACCCTTCATAAAGTAGATATGAAATTCAAGAAGCCAGTTGTATCTGTGCAAACAGTTGTTACGTGCTGAGTCACTTTACATGTAGCAATATGTTCCAGTAAAGCCTTAGACTGCTTTATGTTTTTTTACAAAAATATGACAGGAAGTGTCTTCACTCCATAATGACTGTATATGTTTGCGTGAACTTGTAGTGCGGGGAGGGGCATGGAGAAGGGCTCGGGGAACAGTGACCTCCACCTCCGAGAAGATAAACAGGCCTTTGGGATTGAGGAACTTAACCCTCCTTAATTCTAGAAGAACTGGATCTTTAGGAGCTTCTATGGGCTAAGCCCTCCCTAATAGACAACTAATCTCTACTTTGGAAAAGAGAATAAACGTCTTAAATTCAGCAGTCAAAAGAAGTGGTGGATGGAACTGGAATGAGAGTGAGGGGAAAGGAAAGAAGAGGAATATTTGGGTGAAGGAGGGAGGTAGTCATCTGCTCCTGAACAGATAGGGTTCCTTAGCATCTCTCTGACACTTTCCAGGACCCGTGTATGTCGCAGGAAGTCCCAGGGTCATTCAACCATAGAATCCACTACTGAGAAGACCATTTTGCATTCTTTACTGGTGGCTAAAGCAGGGAACCCACCCAGAGATAGTTCTTTCCAAGGAAGCATGCTGGACACTTGTATGGTATTACTGTCACTCAGAGCACTGGCCACACACTCACCTGTGGAGCTGTCATAGAAAACACTTGGGATACTTGTAAAATCTATGGAGCACTAAGGATCCACTGGGTGAAAAAGAGCTAGGCAGTATATACTCTGGAAGTGGACTGGAGCAAGTTAGTGCATGCCAACTTCCAGACAAATAGACATCTATTTTTCATTTATTTATGTATTATATATGCTGGGCACTATTTGAAATGCTTTTGCCTCTTAACTCATTTATAGTGATGAAGAAGTTGAGATTTTTGCTCAAGGTGAGAGCCCATAGCTTTTAGAGCACAGGAGTATGTTTGCAGGGTATAGGCAAAATAGAATCTATAAGGAACCACATGATATATTGAAAGTGGCAGATAAGTACTCTGTTGAAAGATAAGTTTTTAGATCCTAATAGGAAATAGAGGACATGTTATTCTCTATAAAGTCTTTCTACCCTCATTAGAGTAGAAATTACATGAAGACAAGGATCATGTTACCTCTGTTGAATACTGTGCAACCAGTGAAACAGTGAATACTCAATAGACAATTGTTAAATGAGTCAATGAAGTCCCCTAGACACAGAAGCTAAGGAGACTTGAGCCTTTCTAATAGGATAGCATGTCTTAAAGTCCCTGGACAGCTTCTTGTCTAGTTCAACCATAATGTCAGCCTGTATTAGGAAGACTTAAAAAAAAGAAAGCAACTTCATTTCCTTAGGACCCACAGCAGAGGAAATGCCAATTAGCTAATAGCAGTATCCTTGGCTTCCCTTTTTCAAAATCGCCAAAATCTCCTAGGCAATGCTCATGGGTGCCACTGTGGAGAGCATCTGTCCTCAGACCTGAATTGTGTGGTCAGTCTCCAGGATAAACTTCCTTTGGGTTTCCCAGAACAGGTCCCCATGTTGCTGTGGCCTTTGATGCTGGTTCTAGGTGAGTGGACATCATGAATTAGGACCTGGATCGGGGCAGGGGCTGAGCACTAATCTCAAATGCTCATAAAAGCTTCTGTTGTGCTCTGCCCTAAGGCAGTCTCTAGGCTAGAGGGATGGGGCAAGCTTTTCTGGAATATAAGGCCCTGGCCTCTTAAATAAGAATTTAGGAGCACATCAAAACAAAAATGGTGATAATAGAAATGCTAATATTTATTGAGTGTTCGCTAGTAATTTATATGTGTTAATTCATTTTAATCTTTACACTAAATACTGCCACATAGGATTTGTATCAGAATTGAAGACTATATGGAAATTCACTTTTATTATATTAAATAAATACATCAAAATGCTGAATAAAAGAAATCATATGGGTTGGGCAGAGTGGCTTATGCCTTTGGAAGGCTGAGGTGGGCAGATCGCTTGAGCCCAAGAGTTTGAGACCAGCCTGGGCAGCATGGTGAAACCCCATCTCTACACAAACAATCGGCTGGGTGTGGTGTTGTGTACCTGTAGTCCCAGCTACTTGGGAAGCTGAGGCGGCAGGATCACCCAAGCCTGGGGGGCTGAGGCTGCAGTGAGCTGGTATCATGCCACTGCACTCCAGTCTGGACGACAGACCGAGACTCTGGCTCTCAAAATAAAAACAAAAAACAAACAGAAAAAGAAATCACATGATGACAACGGCTGTCAAAAGTATTGACGCAGTATTAAAAATCAATATCCATTCCAAAAAGAAGTATTCTTAAGCCAGAAGAATACTTACTTAACATGATAAAGAATATGTGTTCTAGATTGACAGGCAATATTACACCTTAAAAATTCAAATTGGAGCTAGAACCAAGATGACTACAATCATCATAATTTGCAATAGTTTTTAAATCCTGGCCAACACACTAAATTAGTAGCAAAAATAGGCAGCATACATATAGGAAGCCAAGATTTTAAAAAGTATGATTTATTCTTTATTCATTCCCACAGTATTTGTCACCGGCTTGTTTGCTATTATTGCTATGTGCTATACAGCCACTGCTCTTGATCACATCATCTATGTGCTATAGTTAGAAGTGTATGAATATTCATAAATTGGGAGGAGTCAAGATAAGTATCCAAAATTATGAAATCCAGGAATATTATGAATTACCACTTGGAGGTTATAATGAAGAAATCATCCAAAATAGCAATAAAAATGAAAACATAGGAATAGGGTTTTTTTTAACCTAGAAAAGGAAATATACAAAATTGTGCAAAGGAATCTTCAATGAATAAGGACATATCATCAGTCTGGATAGGAGTACAGATGTTATAAAAAGATCAGTTCTCCCAAGTAGATCTGTAGATGCTGTGTAATTTCAAACTACCTGTGGAATTTTCAATGAAACTCATTAAAATGTTCAAAAATATACCTAGAAAAATATATATTGTAAGAATGCCAAAGGATAGATTCTTTTCTTAATAAAACAGAAATGCTGGAAATCTATACATTAAAAAATAGATTTCATGTAAATATAGGTCAATGGAAAATAATAGAAACCCATAAATGTATCTAATTACATGTTATCTAATATATAAAAATAGGCATTATAAAACAACAGATATTTTCAATTCTGCTATAAATTTAAAAATAAAGTCTAGATAATTATATTTTTTAATTATTAAAAACGAATGGAAAATAAAATTGAGGCTATTTTTTAATATGGATTCCTAAACACTGAAACAGTAGAAAGAGATTTTAAATCTAAAAGTTAAAAACTTATGTATTATAATAACACAACTTTAATAGAAACCAATGTTGTATAAGGATATTTGCAGCAAGTAAGCCAAATAATTGAGATATGATATAAGCAATTCATGTTCACTGGCCAGAAAAACTTGAAAATATTATTGGGTAAATGGAAAAAGAGCAGAATTACAGAATACACAAACACTCCCTGTAACTGCTGCTTACTGGCCTGCAGGCTTCGTAAAACCCATTGCTTATCCTCCAAACCTAGTATTTGATACTGACGATACTGACCGCGTTTCAACTTCCTAGCCCCCAGTCCGCGCAAGGGTCAGAAGCTGTTTTGATATAAGAAGTGAACATTCTGTCCCCAAATATTTACTTATTTGTTCTGATCAATTTGAGACCCTGATACGAGAAATCATATGAAGTCCCACAACTACCCTGTAGCATGTGTATTCTCTGGTTCCTTGGCCATCCTGAGCAAGGCATAAGGCTTTTGCTAGCCTATCTAATGTTAGGGTCTCTTTCTCAGACTTTCTCAAACAGGGAGCGTAGATTAATAAAAAGAGCATGTTGGCTGGGCGCGGTGGCTCAAGCCTGTAATCCCAGCACTTTGGGAGGCCGAGGGGGGTGGATCACGAGGTCAAGAGATCGAGACCATCCTGGTCAACATGGTGAAACCCTGTCTCTACTAAAAATACAAAAAATTAGTTGGGCATGTGGCACGTGCCTGTAATCCCAGCTATTCAGGAGACTGAGGCAGGAGAATTGCCTGAACCCAGGAGGCGGAGGTTGCGGTGAGCCGAGATTGCGCCATTGCACTCCAGCCCGGGTAACAAGAGCGAAACTCCGTCTCAAAATAAATAAATAAGTAAATAAATAAAAAGAGCATGGTACTAACATTTAGAGACAATGAGGTTTATCCTATCTTTGTAACATTTGGTCTCCGTGACGAGGTGCAAAATGATCTGAGACTAATTTAATTATTTAAAAATTACACAAGATGATAATGAGCCGTTGAATTCAATGATTTCAGGAAGAGTATAGTCTGGAGCTTGGTGCCCAAGGGAGGCTTATAATTCATGTCCATTTCCTTTCCCTGCCTTCTTATCAGCGTCCCTGCTTCATATTGTCCCACTGAGGTCTGTCCACTGACAGATTGCTCCACTGAGTTCAACTTCTAACCTTGTCAACCTCCTCCTTGAAACCTTTCCATGACTCCTTATGGCTTTTATAATAAAATTATAGCCACTTACTGGGGCCCTGCATTCCTCTCTGATCTTATTTTCCCCAACACTCCCAACTCCTGAGCACCTATGTTTTTTTCTCCACTCTGTGCCCTGTCTGTCTTGATTACCCTCCCCATCACCTCTAGCCACACACAAAAGCCAGCATCCACCTGCAGATTCACTCACAGTTATGTTCTCACTCAGAGTTTTCCAAAGTATCATCCCTTCAGATACCTTCCAGGATCCATCCACCCTCTTCAACACATATACACACAAACACACACTCTACACTCTACACACGCACATATATCCTACACACTGGACTACGTGGCCCTTCTGCCCCCAAGATACACATGTGTATTTCTGTTATTGCACTTACACCCTGTGATAGAATTATATTACTTTACATCGTGTTTCTGTTTTTCCACCAGTCAACTTCTCAACAGCAGATACCATTTTTAAAGTTTATTTTAAAAGTCCAAACACCATGCCTTAGTATTTATATATAAACATTTGATGAAAAATTATTAGATTTTTTAAAATGCATTTTTAATGGGAGAAGTAATACATGCATGTGGAAAAAAGAGAATTGTCTTAAAGCAAAAGAATCTTGGCTCTGTGCTCATCTCTGGCTCTTATTTTTTGCAGCTCCTCTCAGTGGACAGCTTGGTGAGTTCTCCTGTCTTTAGCTCTTCAGTGTCTCTGGATAAGAGTGTCTCTTCCTAATGAATAGAAAACATTTGTGATGGTTGCCTGAGATCTCTAATACCTCTTCTTTTCTTGCTAAGGTCAGCAGGGATTTCAAAGTGATGCCTGGTTTTTTGGCATTGCCCAAGGGCCAGGATAGTGCCCTGGTCACCCTCTGACCCTCCCTGGGTGAAGTGGTGAATGCACAAGCAGCTCCTGGCCTTTGCTGGGCTCTGCATTTACTGTTATTGCCAACAGACCCCATTAGCCAGGAAGGACATCTTCAACTCCATGGCAATTGTGCTTGACTCAGAATAGGATCCTGTCCAATCAGCAAGCCAGAAAAACCCCTCTGAAAACATCCCACTGTGCTGATGTCAGCAGGAATGCTGCATTCTCTGCAGCTTGGGAATAAAATGCTCCAGGAAATGTATGGGGAACAGAAAATCCAACAATTGGGTTCTTGAAAAAAAAAGAAAGGCACAGAAAGGGGAGATAGGGGAGAAGACAAGTTATCTGCATCCCACATTCAATTAGTTCTGGCTCTCACTGCCATTCCTTTGGCTCAGAGTGAATAATTGAGAACCTATGAAGAGCAAGAACCCTCTACAACCCCTCTCCTTGTTCAAATCAGTGGCCGCAGCTGTAACCTTGTCCTGCTCACTCTTGGATGCCAGTGAGTGACTTGTCCCTTCCTTGCTCTGCCACAATTAGCTATGATGGGATTTTTCTGGGCATTTGAATCATCATCTACAAAATGAAGATGTTAGATAAGTTGAGCTGCCAAGGTTTTCTCAGTAACAAATCTTAAGATAATATGATTTATTCTCAGGGTAAGTGCAACATTGTGATTTTTAAAATCACCTTTGGAGGTTCTGGTGAGTATTTGAACACGATGAAATGGCAGTGCAGTGGTGGTTTTCTCTGGGACCCCCTTCCATGCAAGGCTGCCTAACTGTGACGTTTGATGGTGAATCCTGCTGGTGTCACCCTCCCGAAATCATTTTGCTCACTGTCATCCCCTGGGCAATTTCTCCCTTGGGTGAGGTGAGGGCCAGGCTGTGCAGCAGGAGGCCCTGAGGCTGGGCCTGCGGGCGCCTCCACCTCAGACTCCTTTTCTCTTTCCTCCTCAGCAAGGACACACAGGTCCATTATTTCCCTCCAGCCTCCATGGACCACAGTCTTCCAAGGAGACAGAGTGACTCTGACTTGCAAGGAATTTCACTTCTACTCACCGCAGAAAACAAAATGGTTCCGTTTGTACTTTGGGAAAGAAATACGAAGAGAAACCCCAGCAAATACCCTCGAGGTCCGGGAATCTGGAGAGTACAGATGCCAGGCCCGGGGCTCCTCGCTCAGTAGCCCTGTGCGCTTGGTCTTCTCTCCAGGTGAGAGAGAGTGAAAGATACACGACTTTAGAAATCAATTCAGCCCATGTTTCCCTGTAGCTGTTATGGCTTCAGACCCTTCGTGAGTGGACAATTTAATTTCACACTGTGTTAAGGCAGGGAGAGAGTAAAAAATTTGGAATACAACCAGACAGGGAATGGGATTGGCTGCTTAACTTTGAACATTAAAATGAAGAAAATTTAAATTCTCTGCATAAAACTCATTCAGCCCAAGGGACAGTGCCTTCACGCAGTTTATCTCGGAGGACATACTTATCACAAATAACAACTAAAGGTCGCTTGGATGAACCGTACAAACACTGCAATTTCCGCTGAGTGGATGAATGTCTCTAAACTCGTGGTTCTTAAGGTTCAAGTTGAGTCACATATCCTGAGCAGCTTATTAATCACTCACATACTCAGGACCTACCCTATGTTTACTGAATAAAATAAGAGTAGGGCCCAGGAATTTGTATTTTTCAAGCTGCTCTGGTAAAAGAATATTTGAGGAGTAATTTATTTGAACAATTCTCGAATCTATTTATAGTTTTATGTCCTATTATGTGTCTGGAATAATAAGTAGAAGGATAATTCTTTTCTATTTTGAGAAAGAAAAAGAGAGAATTAGATGATATAGTATTTGAGAGAGAATGAGAGCTAAAGGAAGAGACATTTCTTTTTTTGTCCTAAAACCACCTGTTTTGAAATTGAAACCATGGCATCCTAAAGACCTTTAATTTAGTGAAAAAAGAAGCAGTGTGGTAGCAAGAAACAAATAAAATGCTTATGCTTTTTGACTTAACAATTCCTCTTAAGAATTTGCCTATGGAAACAATCATAGATATACATGCCTGAAAATTGCAGACCCTAAATGGTCAAGAATAAGACTCATTTAATAAATTACGTTACTGCCATTAAGGGAACATTTTGTGGCCACTGACAATCGGGCTCAGGAATGATATTAATAACACAGGAAAGTGTTTGTAATATACTAATTGAAAAGCAAGCTATCAAATCTATAAATATAATTTCTATTCCATAAAAAATACACAGACTCTTAGGAGGCCGAGGCGGGTGGATCACAAGGTCAAGAGATCGAGACCATCCTGGTCAACAAGGTGAAACCGCGTCTCTACTAAAAATACAAAAAATTAGCTGGGCATGGTGGCGCGTGCCTGTAATTTTAGCTACTCAGGAGACTGAGGCAGGAGAATTGCCTGAACCCAGGAGGCAGAGGTTGCGGTGAGCCGAGATGGCACCATTGCACTCCAGCCTGGGTAACAAGAGCGAAACTCCATCTCAAAAAAAAAAAAAATACACAGACTGACAAGTAGTTGAAGAATGAAGAGAAACGGGAAAACATATGCCAAAATGTGGCTGGTTTTTTACTTTTCAACTTTCCGCTTTCGAACTTTTCTCAAGGCTCATTTGTTTAAACAGAAAAAAATAAATTATAATTATTGTAATAATCCTTCCTCCCAGCCCATTTCTTTGAAATATGGTCTACTTGGAAAAACAGTGAAAGGAAAGAGGAAACAATGAGATGAACCAAGTAACTGTGGTTGTGTTTCCCACAGCTTCGCTGATCCTGCAGGCCCCGCTTTCTGTGTTTGAAGGAGACTCCGTGGTTCTGAGGTGCCGGGCAAAGGCAGAAGTAACACTGAGTACTATTTACAAGGATGGTAATGCCCTAGCACTTCTTAATAAAAGCTCCGACTTCCATATTCATCATGCAAGTCTCAAGGACAATGGTGCATATCACTGTACTGCATTTAATAGAAGTAATTTCCCTGTTTCTTCCAACATAGTCAAAATCCAAGTCCAAGGTAAAGCCTTCATCATTTTGTAAAGTGAGTTGGTCAAAAGAAGACTCCCCGGGGTCACAGAGGTAGAACGGGAGGAAGAGGGTGAGCTGGAATACTATTAAATCACAGGGACATTCCTGCAAGGACCAGAGGAGGTATAGCAGTGCTTTGGACTGAAGGAAGCTAGGATTTTATGACATCCCTTTCTTTGCTTGCTTTTGGTTGTGCTACTGCTTGAAGTGTGTTTTTCTCCAGAGCACATCTCAGCCTCATTGCTCTGGGACCATTGTTGTGATTCTTCTCTCTAGAGTTGTTTTCACGTCCAGTGTTGAGAGCAAGCCCCTCCCAGCCCATCAACGGGAGCCTAGTGACCCTGACCTGTGAGACCCAGCTCTCTCTAGAGAAGTCAGATGTCCAGCTCCAGTTCTGCTTCTTCAGAGATGGCCAGACCCTGGGATTAGGCTGGACCAACTCCTCGAAGTTCCAGATTGCTGCCACGTGGAGTGAAGATTCAGGGTCCTTCTGGTGCGAGATAGATACTGTGGCTCACACCGTCAAAAAAGAAAGCCTGAGATCTCAAATTTGTGTGCAGAGTAAGTTTTTGTAAAAATGGACATTGGCGCCAGAAAAAGGAGGGTAGCATGGGAACATTGCTTCCAACTTAGTTCCTTTTTTCCTTGAAGTGGTGAGCAGGGGTCTATCTTAGATTCTGGTGCTATCTTGAGGTCTTCTCTCTGCTAGTGCATTAGGAGTGGAATAATTATCAGTAGACTCCAAAAAGTCTCAAGACTTCTGGATTTTTGCTAAATCTCTAAATTTACCCTTTCATGTTGCAAAATAATCAGATATTTATTGGGTGTCCGTAATTGTGCTATAGAGGCTGGGGAGGACACAGATGATCTTTGAAGCATCATCCCTGGAGGCAGGAAACAACTCACATTATAGGTGGAAAAGAAAGAGAGTACTCTTGAATATTCATTGAAATTTTCTTTGTGGACTAATAGCAGTAGTAGTGATAGTCAACGTTTACAAATGTTCCATTTGTACCTGAAAATAAAATCCATCCTTTAATTATTGAGTATTAGGTCTGCTCTTTATTAAATCAAATTAGAATTTTTCTCCTTATATATTTTTGTCTGTATTTTTCAATTACTGAGATTCCTATTAAGGTCTCCTACTATAAAAATAGATTTGTCTTTCTGTTCTTACAATTCTGTCAATTTTATGTTATATAGTATAAGGGTATGTGATTGAAAGTATTGTTACACATTGCTAGTAGATGAAGAATTGTTATATGACCCATGCTATGGTCTAAATATATGTGTCCTCCCCAAATTCATACATTGAAACCCAACGCATAAGATGATGGCATTAGGAGGTAGGGTCTTTGGGAGAGGATTAGGTCATGCAGAGATCTCATGTCTGGGGCTAGTGCCCTTATAAAGGAGACACTAAAGAGCTACTTCCCCTCTTCATCATGCGAGGATGTGGTGAGAAGATACCATCTATGAAACAGAAAGCAAGTCCTCAGCAGACATTGCATCTGCTGGTGCATTGACCTTAGATTTTCCAGCCTTCAACTGTGAAAAATAAATTTCCGTTGTTTATAAGGCACCCAGTCTACGGTATTTTATTACTGCAGCCCAAATGGACTCAGACAATCTCCTTGCTCCCTGTCTTGTCTCTTATAAACACTAGCTGGATTTAGCTTTCTCTCAAATCTCTTCATTTCTAGTGTCTAATTGGTGAGGTTTCTCCCATTTAAGGTAATGTAACTGCTGACGTATATGGAATTATTTCTATCACCTTATTATTTCCTTCTATTTGTTGTGTTTAATCTATTTTCTTCTTTCCTTCATTCATTCGAGTTTAAATATTTATTCTACTTTTTCTCTACTTTTTTGGAATTTATACTCTATTTCTATTCATGTAGAGATTTGACTCAAAATTTTTACATGTGTATCTAACACAAACCCTACATAAATATCTCTTTATATCAACTTCCTAAAAATTAAAGGGCTTTTGAGCACTTTCAAACTTTTCTTCTTCTTGTCTTATCCAATATTATTTTTCTATATTTCCACCGCCACAATAAGTTACCATTTTTTATTGAAATCAGTGTCCAGATTTATTCCATTTGCCAATTTCTCTGCTCACTATTTCTTATCCATTTTCAAACTTTCCTTCCAGGACCATCTTCCTTCTTCATGAAGTACTTCTTTAGTGCTTGTCTAATGGTGGCGTGCATTCTCAGTTCTCATTTGCCCGGGAATATCTTTATTTTATCCTTGTTGAATAATAGTTCCATTGAATAGATAATTCAAAGATTAATAAAATTAACTAATAATTTAATTAATGATTAATAATCCTGCTATGTTGTAATTTTCCTTTCATTCTTTTGTAGATAATCCATCTTTTCTACCTCTGTTTATTGCAAAATTTTATCCTTGTCTATAGTGTGTGGTAAATTTGTAGTACATTTATTTGGGTTGATAGCTCACCCAATCACAGATGACACCAGTGCCAAATGAAGATCTGAGTTAGACCAATGAATACATTTAAAAACAGAAAATTAACAATATAATATTTATGATACAATCAATGCTTCCAAGAAAACAACGTATATAAGAAATGATTAAAGACCTTTGGGGAAAGTGGGCAGCCCATGTCTACAGTAGGTGTCTGGGGCTAACCAAGCCTTATGCTTCCACTGCTGTGGATAGAGCACCTCCATCAGGTTCCTGAAGGCACCTGATCCCACTGTGGCCCTTAATGAGATATTCTTAGTGGAGGTCCACTTCTGACAGGCACAGGCACCCAAGATTATAACTCCCTGGATTTACTTTCCTACGTAATAAGTTTGAAATATTATCTGACTATATAGCTATATATATATGCCATCAATACTTTTTTATATTTGCTGACGTCTTTTATCTGTTTCTTTGCTTAAGATTTTTCCTTCTCATTTCCTCCTGCCTGTTGTTTCTTCAAAATGTTTTGTTTTGTATTACAGGCTTGACATCCCCCCTTAGCTCTTTCTAGAGTTTAAGCACAGTTCTCCGAAGCTCCATTGCAAATTTCTCTGTTAACTGTGGTTCTCAGACTGTGACTTCTGGTTAGTGGCCTTTGCTAACTCTCTATCAGAAGCTCGTGCATTTCCTAACATGTTGGTAATTTTTTTACTGTTATCATATTTTCAGCAGTAATTGTTCTTTACAAGAGTCCAAACTGTGTCCTGAGCTGAGGAAGTCTCCTCATGGATTTACTGTTTCCTCTGCTGGGGTCCTATAGGTTTAATCTATTTTTAAGGTAGTTTCTAAGCTCAAAGTTCTAGCACGGAGTGAGACTTAATGTCCACACTAATTCGCTGTGCAGGATTGGATTCCAATTCCTCACAGATCCTATCTTTAAGACAGGACAGGTGGCATTCCCCAATCTGATTTCCCAAATGAGAAGACAGACTATAACCACCCCAACCCCTCATCTGGCTTTGTGCAGCCTCACTACAAGCACAAGCACAGCCTAGATTTCATCCTTATATAGGGATATTACAACATGGGCCTCTAAGGTCGGTTTCTGGTTCTGATAACTTCTTGGGTCTCCAGAACTTCAAATCCCACTCACCTGCTTAGCATTGAGTTACCTCTTGTTTCTGTACCTGGAGTTTTTCTGAACCTAAGTTATATAATTAAAACATTTTTGTTATGTTTTTATCAAGCACTATTGTGTGGTCAGAGTGTTAGGAGAGGCTTGCTGAGTCAGTTCAAGTGCCTTCTTCTCTGGAAGTTTCCAAAGTATCTTCTCCTTTTCCATAATCCTTGTTGCCCACAAACATCCGACATTTGGGGTGCAGGCAGCTATTATTTCAGGCAGAGGTTAGAACCCTGCTGAGAATGCAGAATGCAGGGTCCACCTCTTGACTGCCAAAATAGGCAAGAACCAAATTGTATTGCTAGAAAAAAATAGATTTGTGTGTTCCAAATCAAAGACTGTAGATTGAGAGGATAGAGTTCTTCCAAGTCACGAACTAAAAAAAGGCCAGGTAAGATATGTGGGTAATTTTCCACCATCTGTATATAACATTCTGGAACTAAGTAAGCATTGAAGAAATGCCTAAAGTTGAAACTCTGATTACAACTTAGAAGGGACTTGATATCACCATTTCCTAGGGCTCAACAGAGGGGGCTGTGAGGCAGAAGGGAGCAGAGCAGGCCAGGTGATAGGATCTCCCGATAGGTTGACCAGAAAAACAAAGGAAGGGGGATTAGGTCCCACTTACCTTTGAGCAAGGGAGGGCAGGGCCTCCTTCAAGGGAGCCCTGTTGAGCAGAAACTGGGGCATAGTATGTTTCAGCAGAGCAAGGGCATCTAGAAGTGCTACAAGCTCTCCTCAGCCTGTGCACTGATGCTGGGAGATTCTGCAGTTCTTCTCATGGGCCTCCATAGGGAAATGAATTACTGAGAGGGGTCATGGGCCAGAAGATGCCCAAGGTCAAAATAAGGAAGGTCAGAGTGTGTAGACCTCATTATGGAGGCTGTGGCAGGAACCACAGGTGTCAGTTACACCTGCCCACCCCAGCCCCAGACAAGCAGGACCAGTCCTATTACCAACAGATGTGGAGAGCGATATCCAAAGATCAGGAGAAAATTCCCTGAAAACACCCACAAAGATAACAGAAGAGCCAGAAGATGGAACTCCTTTCCCAAATCCATGAGGGCAGGCAGGGAGAAGCAGTAAAGAGGATGGAGGTAGCAAAGACGGGAAAGGCCTTCCTGTGTAGTTCTCCATGGGCATCACTGGGTTCTCTGAACTTTATAGTGTCCAGGTTGATTCTTTCTCCCCCGGGGCATTTTCCTAGCTTCTCTGGATAGATAGCCTCTTATCTGACAGTAGGAATCTGTCACCTACTTTGTCATTCACAATGCATTCTCAGGGTGACCATTGATGACTCTCTCTTTGGCCCCTGCTTCCTGGGTGGTCCATTTCCATACAGCCTTTCCCTACTAGGGTTCTATTGCTTCTTCAAGTGGCTCTCTTGACAAATTCTTTTAAGGTCCCATGTTCAGCAGATGAAAACCAGGTTCCTTTGAATCCTCAATGGGGATGCAGTTTCCCTACTGGCAGTCCTGACTCTGCGGCCCTGGGCTGTCTCAGCAACATCTCCCACTTTGAGTTTCTCAGATGTGAGTCAGGAACCTGTCCAGTGCATCCTTAAGCTGCAGGGAACACACATCAAGCTCTCTGAATGTTCTCATTGATGCTCCTCTCACCAAGCTTGAGGTGAAGGGCAGGTCACATGAGGTTTGGAGGGGACTCACAGCATAGCTCTTTATAAAGGAATTAATTTCCTGTGATCTCCAGATCCTAAGTTGGTATGCCTGCAGTATAAATGAGAGCTTGAGTCTCAAACCTAGTTTTCAGAAACAGCTTTGCACATTCTTTGGTGAAAGGTATTTTCCCAAGAGGTTTTATTGTACCCGCCAAGTTCTCTTGATTGTAAGGATCTGATGAAGTGTGTGAAGGGCAATGAATGTGGGTTTGGCTTCATGTAGTACAGGCAGGGGACACACAATTGGTGGAGGAAGCTGAGAGACTCTGGCTGCTACTCTAAATCTGGGATTCTTCTCTCCCACTTTCTCAGGATGTGAGTTCGGGCAAACTGTTTTACTTCTTCAAATCTCAGTTTCTTTGGCTGTGAAATATTTTGCCTGCTCAGCAAGGTGCTCTGAAACTAAATTAGATAATCAATGAGGAATATGCCTTACAATAATAATTATCATTATTTTGTTCCCTCCTTCCCAGAGCCTGTGCCCCTCCCACAGATCCTGACTGAGTCATCATCCATCACGCCAGGCTGGTGCAACCTCACCATGAAGTGTAGGGTTCTAGGGACCACAGAGGACCTGAACGTACTCTGGGAGACCCAGGGTCTCCCCAGGGAGCTGGAGCAGAGAGGGACACTAGGACCAGCCCCCAACTCATGGACTCTGGCTGTGAGCCTGTCCCCGAGCCAGCGCAATGCCAGCCTCACCTGTGTGGTCAGCAACAATGTGGACCAGAAAACTGCCACCAAAGACCTTGGGGAAGTATGCTGGGCTCAAAAAAGTGTCCGGAAAGGTGAGTATGCTCAGCTCAGAAGACACTTCTTTTCCTGGAGATTGGGGGAAGGGGAGTTGTGCTGATCAGCCCATGCCAACCTTGCCGCCTCTTGACAATAAATGCAAGCTGGGAAGATCCAGTAAAAAATTGTATATGCTCCAGGAAACTATCCAGGGAAGGGATGGAATCAGGGATTTTTAGAAGAGAAAAGAAGAGCTATACTAGGCATTTACTTCTGCTCTGCTCTGAATCCTGCTTGAACAGCCACGGAGTGTGTGAGGAGTTACATTTGTAGCAAGTGATTTCAACTGGGAAACATGAAGAAGTTAGAGAAAGGCAAGTTTTGACTCACAATATTAGAGAAGAGCTTTCTAAGGTCAGAGTCATACAGAAATGAAATGGAAGCCTTAGGACAACATGAGGTCCTGGCCATTGGTGGCATGTAAGTACAGCCGTAGCCACTTGGTGGGGGGGTGTTATAAGTGCAGGAGGGGAAGGACTCTATGGTCAGTTTCCTTGCAATGGCACATTCTTAGATTCTAGGTAACTCTCTTTGACAAAATCACATAGGCTTATTCCCAGCCACAAACTGTCAGGTGGAGCAGAGTACCTGGCATTGAGCTAGTCCCCTGAAGGAAGCGCAGCCGCCCCAGGAGTCAGCCACCCAGTGGCCTTTCTCTCCCTGCTCTGTGTCTGACCCAACAGGGATTGGAGCTTCACTCTTATTCCCATTACTGTGTACGATGCTTGCGAAAGGCCTTCTGCTCCTTGGGCTCCTTGGAAAGCTGGGAGTTGAATTCACCAGGAAAAAATTTCCAGCAGAAGAAAGGAAGTGAGAACTGTCCAAGCAGACTTTATTTCCTTTTTTATCTAGTTTTCTGAACCATAAATGAGAGCTTTCTATCTTCTGTCAAGATGTACATTGTATTTGTTATTACAAAAATGATCTATTCATTGCTAGTTTGAGTGAATCCACTGTCAATAGGATTTGATCGTTAAGCCCTTGAAAGAGAAAAGACTAATATATGTTTTACAAGATTTTCTGTGTTGGTTTTTTGAGGGTTATACACACATGTAAATCAATGCAAATAATTTATGTTTTTCTAGAAATTGTGCATTTCGTGAATATTTTAAATTAAATAGATGTTAATTATGTATTATATCTTTTAGAGTTTTTCTCTTGCTGTTGTTTTGCTATTTTATATGTGACAGCAGCTTGCTGAATGGCTAAGTGATAAATCTGGTGAAGATTCTAACCTGAAGAGCTACAGAATCTCATTTACCAGTTCACAGTTTTTCACACTGGGTCTGTTTACCAATGCAGTTTGCTGATTCAGCAGGTACTGCCTAGAATGTGGTATTCTGAGGGATGTCCTCTTCCTCCACTCCCCCTCCTAAGAACTTGGAAGTAAGAGAATTAAGTTTGGGTGGTTTTGTTTGTTTGTGTTTTAGTAGTTAAATGTAATTCTGTATACCCAGATCACAGGAGAGGTATAGAAATTCTAGTTTACCATCCAGGGCAAGACTTAACCTCAGGTGACCTAAGAAACAATATGTCAATCAGAAAGACAGATAATGAGAAATGAAGCACAAAGAAAGGTAAGTGACAGAAACAAATGAAGTGCTCTGTTAAGCTGGAGATTAAGTCTATTGCCCTGATCCGGTAAGTCCTGCAATGTACAAGAAAAGCTCAGACTCCACATTGCGGGCAGAATCCACACTAGCAGCATCTGCTCACTGGCCCTGACTCCAAGCTCCCCAAGCAACTTATGGATGTCTTGGTTTCACATCTGGAAAGAGGGTGCACTGGTCAGGGTAACAGAAATATCCAGTCCGGTTGACAAGTATACTTCTTACTGTCAATTAATAAATATGCATTCTGGATGTGTCTATTCATAGTTTATGATATCTGCTACCAAGATTTTGCATCCCCAACACAAGTCAGCTTTGGACAATGTTTGATGGAACATGGAGCCACTAGGCTGAGGCTGAGTCTGAGGGTCAGACGCAGAACTTGCTGAACACACCTGTGTAAAGCCAGCCTGTGGAGTCTCATCATTCATTCATTTCTTCCTCAGTCATTAATTATTGTGCTGTACACTGAGGACATGCTGAGGATTGTCTTGAAAGACAGGCTCTCAGCCTCTCTTTGACACATATATTCCATCTGAATTTTATGAAGATTTCATAAAAACCAAATGTTTGAGTTCTCAAATGCAATTATGCATGAGAATTACATATTGACTTTTTAAGAAAGACAGATAATCCATACTTTGGAAATAGGGCCCAGGCATCTGTGTTTTTAAAAGCTCTGCATGTGGTCTAATGAACAGCTAGGGTTGTGAGCAATTCAAAGGATTGTCCATCTGGATCAGTTAGACCAAAAGTTCACTTTGTCTTTACTGTCTACACAGATCCAGAGATGATTAGGAGTGGTTTCAATAAAGAATCTTAAGGGGTTGTTTCAACACAATAGAATACAAAAGGCAAACATGAACACAAAAACTGTAGTTGGTTACCAAGATGACAAGCCTTTTGTTGGCATAATGTGCCTTTATCTATTTGGAGCAGAGCACTGAGCATATCACTTGCGTGCTAAAAAACTGTAATAGATGGTATCTTTTTCTGATAATATTACAAATAATCTGATCATACACACACACACACAAAAAACAGACGTCAGAAAATAACCACTGTTAACTGCTTCAACTTTTGGACTTTCCTTATGCTCACGTAAACGTATGAATAAAGACCAGAGACACACTTCACAATTTCAAAACTTAAGAGAAAGCTAAAATAATCAAGATGATGTAGCACCGACGTGAGGATTGAATTGAATGAGGAATAAAATTGAAGCCCAGAAATAAATCCACCCATCAATAGTCAATTGATTTTCAACAAGGAGTGTTCCAGGACAATTTAATGGGATGAAATTAGAAATCAATAATGATAAGAAGTTTGGAAAAATTACAAATCTGTGAAAACTTAAAAAGGTACTCTTCAGCAACCAAAGTGCCAAAGAAGAAATCACAGTGGAGTTAGAAAACACTTTAAAATAAAAAAAAAAACTTTGAAAATACAACATACCTCATACCATAAACAAAAACTAATTCAAAATGTATCAAAGACTGGATTGTAAGCGCTCAAACTAAAAAACTTTGGGAAAAACGTAGCTGAAAACATTCATGAATGAAATTATTTATCAAGCAATAGTTTCTTAGATACCACATCTAAAACACAAACAACCAAAGAAATAAAACAGTTAAATTTGAAACATTTATCATGCAGCAAAAAAACATTATCAAGAAAGTGAATGATGACCCAGGAAATGGAATAAAATGTTTGCAAATCGTATGTTTTATAAGTGCCTACTATCCAGAAAACATGAAGAGCCCTTCTATCTAAATGATAAAAAGACAAATAACTCAGTTTGTTTAATGAGCAAAGAATTTGAATAGACATATCGCAAATGATGTGGAAAAATATTTCACATCATTAGCCATTAAAGAAATGAAAATTGAAGTCACAATGAGATGCCTCTTCATATCTACCATGATATTATAATTTAAAAAAGTCACACAATACCACCTGCTGACAAGGATATGGGAAAATCAGAACCCTGATTTAGTGCTTGAGGGAATGTGAAATGGTGCAGTCACATTGGAAAGCAGTTTGGTGGTTTCTCAAAATGTTAATCACATAGCTACCACATGACCAAGCAATTCCACTCCCAGGCAACTTCCAAAAAAATTGAAAACATATTCATACAAAAACATGACATTATTCATAATAAGGTAAAAATAACTTAACTGTTCTTCATCTAATAAATGAATGAACAAAATGTAGTGTATGCCTATAATGGAATATTTAATCTTTATTATTGTCTTCCTTCTGCTTGCTTTAGGTTTGATTTGCTATTCCTTTTCTAAATTTTTTTTTTCTTTTTTTTTTTTTTTGAGGCAGAGTTTCGCTCTTGTTACCCAGGCTGGAGTGCAATGGCCCGATCTCGGCTCACCGCAACCTCCGCCTCCTGGGTTCAGGCAATTATCCTGCCTCAGCCTCCCGAGTAGCTGGGACTACAGGCTTGTGCCACCATGCCCAGCTAATTTTTTGTATTTTTAGTAGAGATGGGGTTTCACCATGTTGACCAGGATGGTCTCGATCTCTTGACCTCGTGATCCACCCGCCTCGGCCTCCCAAAGTGCTGGGATTACAGGCTTGAGCCACTGCGCCCGGCCCTTCTAAATTCTTAAGTTGGAAGGTTAAGTTATTGAGCTAAGATCTCTCTTCCTTTTTAACATAGGCATTAATAACTCTAAACTTCCCTCTGCATACTGCTTTCAATATAGCCTGTAAGTTTTGGTATATTGTGTTTTCAGACTTTTTCATTTCAAAGTATTTTCTAATCCTGTTATTATTTCTTCTTTGATACTTTAGTTGTTGAAGAGTGCATTTAAAAATTTTCATAGATGTGTGATTTTTCCAAATATCTTATTGTTACTGATTTCTAATTTCATTCCATTGGCTTTGGAGAGCACACTTCACATGGTTTCACACTTAAGTTAATTGAAGCTTATGGAATAAAGTTTTATGGCCTAATATGTTGTCTTGTTGAAGAACGCTCCATGTACAGTTGAAAAGAATGTGTGATTACCTCAATAGCGAACCAGCAGTTCAAAAGATGGAACATGAAGGGTTCAATAAACTTCTGTTAGGTCTAACTGGTTTATTGTATTCTATTGTCTTCTATTTTCTGAATAGATTTTTCTAGCCATTGTTGAAATTCTGGTATTAAAATCTTTAACTGCTATTGTTGAATTATCTATTCATACTTTCAGTTCTGTCAGTTTCTGCCTCATCTTTTAAGGCTCTTTTGTTAGTTGCATAGATGTATGTTTATCATGATTATAATTCTTTATTCCTACATTTCCACCTTTTTCATATTAAACGATTTTGTATGGTACGATTTTAGTTCCCTTCTTATACTGTGTATTTTGCAGTTATTTTCTAAGTGGTTT